CTCAATTATTTTATGATTCTATGAATTCCACAATCACGTGCATCATCTTTTGTGGTGACAGGGATTACAACATCATTAATATTTGACTCCAGAGGTGTTACCTCTGAATATGCCTATATTATTGGGAGGCTTCTGGGAATTTCAGCTCCTTATAGTGTACTCTCCTAGTGTGAGTAGGTGTGTGAGTTCAGCTGGCTGTGACTTGATATCAGCATTTTGGCAAGGAAGCAATTTGTATTAGTATGCATAACACACTATAGAAGTAAAGATTCTGGATCAGAAAGCACAGCAGGACCCCTGTATCTTCAGGGAATGGTTATAAGTCCCCCTCGTAAATGCTGAAAATCCTGGATAATCATGAACATTATATCCAGCATGGTCAAAAAACCAAATCAAATCCAAGAATATGTTTTTTCACCTGCATCACCAGAACTGGTCAGCTGAGGGACCCAGAGACCATGCTATGTACTCTTCAACAACAATGGTCATGAATGACTTCCATCAAGGTCCGGCCCAACAGTCAAGAGACCTCCAGAAGGTTTCACAAAGCAGTCCCCATACAATAGCATCCAAAAACAACAGTTGCTTCCTGCACTGATTTCGCACAGGAGCCAAACCTATGTGGATCATAAAACCAATTCCCTATGGATAAATGGTCTCCAACCTTTTTCACCCCATGAACCAGCTGCGGAAGGCGGAGCATCCCCCAAGCTTGTGGGCATTTGCAAATGAGTGAATGTGAATGAGCGCGTGTACGCGCACAAACGGTGGCGCGGTGCTTATGCATGCTCACTCATACGCATGCACAAATGGCGGTGTGGCATTCACACGGGGTACATTGCGCTTGTGCAAATGTGGAAACAGCGGCGTGGAGCTCACACGGGTGTGCACAGCATGTGCAAATCAGCTGTGTGGGGGTGAATGCGTGCACAGGGGGGTGGGAAGTCTGTCTCCACGGCCCGGTTCTGCTCAGGCCATGGACTACCACTGGGCCATGGACCAGAGGTTGGGGACCTCTGCCTTAGGTGATAACCTCAAGGGATAGGTAAGCAAGATAGCCCCATCTGTTGGTATATTGCCCCATGCACGATACTTGGCATGCAGCTAGAGCAGCACTCCAAGTATCAGAGGCAATATATGGGAGAAAGGCAGCCACTGCCACTGGAGGCAATGAGTGGTTGAAGGGGAAATGGGATCAAAGATTAAAGGAGCCTCATGGAGGAAGGGGGGTCTTCACAACTATACCCCTAACTGTTGATTATATATTCTTCTGGAGTGGGCCAATAATTTCATGAGAGAATTTCTTTGTTGAGCATGTTCTAGTATATACTACTTTATGGGAATTATGTGAGAAAAGGCTTCTCTGAATAGAAAAAGAAGAAAAAACTCAGTCACTTTTTTTATTCCTCTAAAAGCCAAGTCTAGGCAAACATTAGTGTTTTTATTTTTTTAAAAAAAAATCTTTGCCATGTCACAAAGGGGTTAAACGAATCCCAGAGCTTCTTTGGACGCGTGAAGAACTCTGAAGGACGGAGTGGCGTCCAGTGTGTTAAATGCATGGGAGAAAATGCAGCCAGGGTCCATAAATAGCTCATTAGTTTCATTCCCAATTAAGCGTGAAACAGTGGTTGTTTATTGGAGTGAACATGTGCAGCGGGAGGAGGTTGGAGCTGGTCAAGCCATAAAGGAAAGTGAAAGCAGGAAGGTGACTCGCTTTAGAAGGAATCCCTGGGCAAAGCCCTCCTTTCCCTCCATAACCCACCTCCTTTCTGTCATCTCTTCCATGTTTCTCTCCTCCCATCATCTCCACCATGGTATCCACAGGAGAAAGGGGGTATGAGAACAGTTCTGTCAGGAAAGTAGTTAACATGTCCAGGGGATGGAAATGTTGCCACATTTTCCAAGATCCGATAAACTATAATGAATATTCCACAGAAAGTAGGGAGTGACAACAGGTTTGGGAAGAATCCTCAAAGGCAGAAGTGCTTCAAGATACAGGGATTTAAAAGGAATTGCTTCAAAATGGTTGGCAATTAGAAAACAGCACATCTGCGATAAGATGGGTGAATACAGTGCAATAGTGCTTCATGGTTTCTGTTGCTTATATTCTTTTATTAATTATCAGGATATAGATACTCCGGTCTTTAATGAATTCCCATGGCATCTTACTACAATTTATTTCACAATAAAGCCAATTCTGCACCAAATGTTAAAAATAGCACAGTTTAAGAGAGCAGCAAAAAAAAGCAATGAGCAGAGGTACAACATGTTGAATATAAATGCTTGGTACTGAAATGACATCTAAAAAGGCACTGCAAGAATCTATCTCTCTGAGGCATTGCTCCCCAACCAGGGCCCACCACTGAGATTACTCTTTCCTCAGCAGCCCCCTGCAACACCTTGGATGGTGAGGGCACCTGAAAACAAGCCTCAGTTGAGGATCTTAGGTTATGGACACGTATCCACAGAAACAGTCTTTCAGTTACCTTTATCTCAAGAGTGTTAGAAGGCAACTCTTCAGTTGCACGAAACATGACCTAGTGCCAGTGCTCTTGTCCTGTTAATATGACATTTTTAATGTATCCCTTTGTGTTAGTCACACTTAAGTCTCAGTAAAGACTCTTGATCTTTAAGCAGTTAAAGCTGTGATGACTGAGAGGCAGTTGTTGACATTTGTTGGTGCAGAATTTCTTCCATATCATTTTATGACCATATTTTATCCATTACTCAGAACACTGTATAACAGAAATAGTCTACTATGAATAAAACACTTACATTACAGATCTCATGAGAATATCAGTGAGACAACAGACGGTGGAAGCAAAAAAACATGACCACGTATGAATAAAACACTTACATTACAGATCTCTTTTCCCATGAGAATATCAGTGAGACAACAGAAGGTGGAAGCAAAAAAAACATGACCACACAGAAATGAACATCACATAACACCTGTTTGTTCCCTTGAGGGAAGGTGATAACTGGTCCAGTATATGTGTCTCATTATCACAAAGCCAATAGATTGCTGATGACTACTGATCAGAAGAAGCATCTGGCAATGCTGTTGTTCTTTCTTAAAATGTGTTCTACTTCATACCTGTAAAATGAAAATTATAATAATGTATCTCACAAACCACTGGGAAGACAGACAGGATGAATGTGATAACACTTGTTTTAGTGATCTTACATAAAATCACTACTAAGAGATATATATCATAATGGTAATTCTTCCTGCAAAAATTCTACAAAGTATTATATCCTGTGTTTTCATTTGCATTCACAGAAAACTGACAACATTAACCATCCTTCCTGCAGAACCTACACTTCCTTTTAAAATATCCTTAGAGATGAACGCAGGTGGTACCCATCAGGACTGCTCCTCTGCTTTAAAACCACAAAAATACAACAAATGTTATGGTCAGCAAAGGACAGAAGGGACCCCCTCACCACTGCAGGAGTATAC